AGTAACGGGTCAATATCGGTATCGGTCAATATCGGTATCGGACATTTCTCAAAGTTGTAATATCGGTATCGTATCGGAAGTGAAAAAGTGGTATCGGGACATCCCTAGTTATGATAGTTTAGTTATGATGTAAAAACAATAAAATTAAACCAAGATTTAGAATAATTATCATTTTGATCCATACTGAATGGGCCTCGTGTCACTTTATGTTCAACAAATTGGGCCCYGAGGTCAAAAAGGTTAAGAACCACTGGTTTAAATGGTGTTTGTTTGTAGCAGACTGGTTTGAACGTAAATTGAGATTGGAGAAGAGGATTTTTAGCAGGAGTAATGAACTTGTTTGGCACAGATCGGGAACACAATACTTTGGAGGTAATCAAGGATTCGTGACTAAGGGGGGTAACAAATACCAGTTTTGAGTGACCCAGTTTGGGCGAACGTCATCCTAATTCATGACATACAAAACACACAAAAGACACGCAACACTGCAATAGTTTACTTCCTAATGGATACGACACAATGATCCATTATTCATCTGAAGTGTTGCATTTTATTTTCTTCCATCTCACTAGTTTATTGCTGTTCTACTTTAATACAGAYATCTAGAATATTCTCCCTGGCTTAGTGACGCAGTTGCTTTAGAGATTTGTGTGTGTTCAGTCTGCCGTCCAAAGCCTAGTGACTGAAATGCCTTCTGCCACATGTTGATGTGGGCAGTGTGTGTGTGTGTGTGTGTGTGAGAGATATAGGTCAGTATTTTGCACCGTTTGCAGCCCTGTCCTGTCCACTCTGGTGCCAGGCCAGGGAAAGCACCCGGTCTGTGTCGGCTTTTTTTTTTTTTTTCTTGCTCTGTTTGGGAAAACCATATGGATGGTGTTCACATTTAACCCAAACACTTTTCATCTAAATAGCTTTCATGGTGTCTTGTGTGATTCAGTCTTAAAAAAACAAGTAGTATTTGAGTGTTTTATTGTTGTGACTTGTTGTGTTTGCACTGAATGAGGCAGAGGTAACTAAAGGTTTTAAGCACTGGCAGTGGGCCACATGCTGAATCATTCACTGCAGCACCAAGCGTTACACCTTACTGATGAATTATGGGTAGGATAAACTACAGAGATAAATAGCACAGTTCACCAGTAAATCTATATTTCAACAATTCTATCACAGTTATTTTTTAATCATTGTTGACATGAGTTGTCTTGAATGAGTTAGCTGAGTCATCTTGGACAAAAAAAGCTACGTTTTTAGGTTTTAAAAATGCCAGTAAAAGTACTACAGTCTAGTTTTAGGTTTTAAAGCATCAAACGTATTGATTTTTAGGGAAATGCTGCTGCAGGGCAGAGCCACAGGAAACCAGACACGATCACGCTCACGCCGTGTGCAGCTCTTTCACCAGACTTTATGGAGGCTGCTGTGACAAATGTGTTTTGAAAGATGGAAAACAAAAACAGAAAATTACAGTCGGTGCAGTCTCATGTGGRTCGCAGTAATTATCTCACATTTTTAAAGCACTGATAATGGATCTTTTTAACTTTTATGCTGCTTTTATTCCCTCTCTGGTTTCTGCTTTTTTAAATAAAACTCTCACTGAACCCAACAATGTGCTTCCTCTCTGCAGGCAAAGGAAATCCTGACAAAAGAGTCAAACGTCCAGGAGGTGAGATGTCCGGTGACCGTGTGCGGCGACGTGCACGGCCAGTTCCACGACCTCATGGAGCTGTTCAAGATCGGAGGGAAGTCTCCAGACACAAACTACTTGTTCATGGGCGATTATGTGGACAGAGGGTACTACTCTGTAGAAACCGTCACTTTACTTGTAGCTCTTAAGGTAACTAAAATACTCAGCATTCAAATCTGTTTTTCCCCACATGTTTGTGCGGGAGCAAAAAGGCAAAAAGGGTAACAAACAAATCTGCGTGTTTTTAGGTTCGCTTCCGGGAGCGCATCACAATCCTCAGAGGGAACCACGAGAGCAGGCAGATCACACAAGTCTACGGTTTCTACGATGAGTGCTTAAGGAAATATGGGAATGCCAACGTTTGGAAGTATTTCACAGATCTGTTCGATTACCTCCCTCTCACTGCCCTGGTAGACTCTCAGGTGAGAACCTGCTCTGTTTCTTACACAACCATTAAAAAACCATCAAATTCTGAGCTAAGAAATCTTTCTTTGTTAGATTTTCTGCCTTCACGGGGGCTTGTCGCCGTCTATAGACACACTGGATCACATCAGAGCGCTGGACCGTTTACAGGAAGTACCGCACGAGGTAAAGATTATGATTTAAACTTTAAGAAGCGGTAGAGAATTGAGTTTAAAATATTCTGACCTGGTTGTAATCATCCTCGGCCCACGCAGGGTCCCATGTGCGACCTGCTGTGGTCGGACCCCGACGACCGCGGCGGCTGGGGCATCTCTCCTCGAGGAGCCGGGTACACGTTCGGTCAGGACATCTCTGAGACTTTCAACCACGCCAACCGCCTCACACTGGTGTCTCGAGCCCACCAGCTTGTTATGGAGGTTTGTTGGGGTTTTAAATTAATGTGCTAAAATGCTAGAAAGAGCAGAAAAGTCTACGCTTAGTGGACTTTAGAATCTGACAAAGATGACATCAACTTAAATACACCAGAGGAGGAAGAACAGATCAATTTGAAACAACATTAATAAGCTTAAAATGAAATCTGAAACTCAGAAAACATCCTCTGACACTCATACTAAATACCACTGTATGTTTAGTTTCCATTAAAGTCGCACTTTTGCCTATAAATATGCATTTCCAGTTAATAATCCATCCATTTTCCTCAGGGATACAACTGGTGCCATGAGAGGAATGTGGTGACCATTTTCAGTGCCCCGAACTACTGCTATCGGTGTGGCAACCAGGCGGCCATCATGGAGCTCGACGACACCCTCAAATACTCCTTGTAAGTCCTCAGAAAAAAACAAAAAACAGGAGAGGCAGAATAGGTGCTCCAAATTAATATTCCTACATATAAAATGCTTAAAATTTGGACGTTTTACTTATTTTTTTTTTCTCTTTTTCTTCAGCTTACAGTTTGATCCCGCCCCCCGCAGAGGAGAGCCTCACGTAACCCGCCGCACCCCGGACTACTTCTTGTAAACCTTTTCTACAGTCCAGTCCAGTATTACCATTATACAACTTCAAACTGACGTGATCCAGGAAGGGGAGGTTTGCAGCAGTGTATATTATTTATTCACATGAAAACCAATKTAAGCATTTTGTAAAAACAAGTCTATAAATGGACCAAAAAGTGTGTGCCATAACCATTATAATATTTATTGCTGAGGGCTTTTATTTGTAATCCCCCTGTTCAACTATATAAACAGATTTTGATGCTTAAATTCCTCATTTTGTACATATGTAGCTGGGATGATGGCTCCCAACTTCACAGCAGATTTTGGTAATAATAAATGCAGCTCCAACCTCCAAACACCATGGATTTTATTAAAGAGATCTGAACTTGGTTTGTTTGCACTTTTGTATGAATAAAGAATTGTAAAATATGTCAAAAGATGAAGGAAACTTCACACTACAGGTGATTTTTTTTGTAAAACGCTTATAAAGTCCGAAGTTTTTGTCCTGTGTACCTTCTAATGAAACCTGTGCACGTGCAATGATGCAGCTTTGGTTTAAATGAAAGATGATGGAGAGTTCGTTCTCATCAACTCACTAACTTCCTTTAAATTTCAGACTCTGTATATTAACCAAACCAATAGAATAATAAAGTTTAAAATGACTTCTTGAGCTGTGTTTTTATTTGATTAAACTGAGCAGGTGTAACTTATTTTAAAAGCAAATTTAAAAATGCAGAAAATTTGTGTTGATTAGGGCAGAGKTTCTCAAAATGGGGTCCCAGAACTCCCAGGGGTCCACAAGCTATATTTTTGGGGTCCCCAAAAGATTTCAATAAATTGTTAATTTGGATTTTATTTTAAAAATTTAATATGGGGAACAATGCACTAGTAAAACAAACATACTGAACGAAACAAAAAAATAATATTCCCATAGTATTTAGGGGTTAAAATGACAGTAAATTATTTTTAAAACAGCATGGGGTTTATGAGGGGGTCCCTGGAAATTTTTCAAATTTGTAGGGGGTCCCCAGAACCAAAAAGTTTGAGAACCCCTGGATTATGGTAACTATAACGAGTATGAGATTTGATTAGTTTGCCACCAAAACAATCCTTTATACTAATGAAGAAAGTCAGCGGTAACTAAGCTAAAAATTTACAGGTGGCAAGAATACTTACACAATGAAACACAACTTTTTTTGTATTCTGCTAATGGATCATGTAACATTTTAGACTTAAAATTTAAAATGAGTACCTTTAAAGTACCATAACATTGGATGAAGTATATATAT